TGAAGGACTTGGAACAGGACACTACATTGTCTCCAGAAGTTCGGGTTCCTGACAAATTTGAACAAGAGCTCATTGAAACTGTCTCGGCATCTGGAACATCTAGGCGTAGTCATAGACACCAAGAGAAAGAAGTTGTTTCTTCCACTCCAGAAGGCGCGGAAAATCAAGGCCATAGCCAACCAGATCATCTCAGCCCGGACCTCCTCTCTGTCCATACTCACCAAAATGATGGGCCTCATAGTGGCTGCTTTCGACAAGCTGCAGTGGGGAAGGTTCCACTCCAGGCAACTCCAGATCTTCTTGAGACCATTTCAGTACTCCATTACAACACGACTGGACATCTCCCTGAAAGTGCCATTGCAAGTCAAGATGAGCCTCCGCTGGTGGTCCAATCTATCCAACGGGAAATTCTTTTGGATCCAAGAGAGGATTCAAATTTTCACCGATGCGAGCCTAGAGGGATGGGGAGCCACTCTCGAGAATCAACCAGTACAAGGCAAGTGGTCCACAGACGAACAGACCTTGCCGATCAGTCTGCTAGAATTACGTGCGGTCCGGCTTGCTCTACAATCCTTTGCACCCCAATCCAGGGGAGTCATGTTCTAGTTCGCACGGACAATATTTCTGCAAAGGCGTACCTGAACAAACAGGGCGGGTCCAGGTCATCGACCTTACACAGAGAGGCGACCAAACTACTGAAATGGGCAGAAACCAACTTAGCCTCAATTCAAGCAGAACATGTGAAGGGAGTAGCGAATATCCAGGCCGACTGGTTAAGTTGTCAGGAGATCCAGGAGAGCGAATGGACCCTGAACAGAAGGATATTCCACTTCATAACGAACAGCCTGGGCACTCCCATTGTAGACCTCTTCGCATCTCCAGCCAATGCTCAACTATCAAGGTTCTTCATGTGATACTTTCATCGCCAAGCGGAAGCCACAGATGCCCTAACAGCACCGTGGCCCAGAGGTCTCCTATATGCCTTTCCACCACTACCAGTACTACCCAAGCCACTACAGAGAATACAGATACTTCAGGCAGAGGTTATAGTAGTAGCTCTGTTCTGGCCAAGGCGTCCATGGTTTACTTCACTACAAGAGATGGCGATACGACCTCCACTAATACTGCCAGTGGACACAGACATGTTGTTGCAAGGCCCACTCAGACATCCCAATCCAGAGTGGTTCCATCTAACCGCATGGAGGTTGAAAGGACTAAGCTCCTGAAGTTGGGCTATAGTCAACAGGTGGTTGAGACTATGTTGGCATCCCGAAGACCATCCACTTCGAGGATTTATAATTACACTTGGAAGGTATTTGTAAGATGGTCTCAGAAGAAAACGGTGGACCCTCTACGTCCCAAGATTAGGGACATACTAAACTTCCTACAAGATGGTGTCGAGAACGGTTTGAGAGCCAATACTCTAAAACGTCAAATCACGGCTCTTGCTACAGTTTTACCTCGTTTCAAAGATCTGCCAATTTCTCAGCATCTCCACGTAATCAGGTTGCTGAAGGGTACATCGCTCAAGAATCCTCTGGTCAAACCCAGATTTCCTACATGGAAATTAAACACAGTGCTCAATGCATTGACAAAGAGTCTCTTCAAGCCACTAAAAGAGGTATCTTTGAAGTTTTTAAGGATGAAAGTGATATTCTTGATAGCGATAACGTCTGCCAGAAGAATTTCTGAGCTGGGAGCTCTTTCTGTTCAATCCGACCTATGCATATTTCACAAGGATAAAGTTATTTTGAGGACAGATCCTGCATTTTGTCCAAAAGTCAACTCATCTTTTCATAGGAACCAGGAGATTTATCTTCCGTCCTTCTCACCCAATCCAGTACATACACAGGAAAAGCTGTGGCACACCCTAGACGTCAGGAGGGCATTGAAATGTTATATTATCAGGATGGCATCGTTTAGAAGGGCGGAAGCCATGTTTGTGAACATTTCTCCTCCTCATACGGGGAGAAAAATGTCAAATTCCACCTTAAGCCTAACTATCAGGACATGCATAGCCGAAGCATACAAATGCTCGAAGCTAAAGGTTCCAGAAGCCATCACAGCGCATTCTCTACGTAGTGCTGCCACGAATGCAGCACTGACCAACAGAGCTTTGGTGGAAGAAGGTGTGCAGGGCCGCTACTTGGTCATCGCTTTCAACTTTCATCAGGCACTATAAGATCAATGTCTATGCCTCGGCTGATACAGCCTTCGGGAGGAGAGTACTGCAGTCTATTCTTCCTTCCGATGATGACCACCCTCCCAACATTTAGGGACACTGCTCTGGGAGGCCCCACAAGATGGTCTCCACCTCAGAGGGAGAACAACCATTGGTACTTACCGAGAACGGTCCTTCTCCTCTGAGGCTTAGAGGACATCTTAGCCCTCCAGGGTCGTCATCACCTATAATCCTTACCTGTCACTGTTAGTATATTTCCTGTTTGTTCTGTGGTTAAATCTCTTACTATGTTATAGTCGTTAATAGGTTATTCAAAGTTACTTTTTTGTGCGATGTTTACATTAATAGTATTACTTTCGGAGCACCACAACTGAGCCTAGGGTGACTCCCACCACAGGAAACAGGAAGTTTGATTTGTTCCTGCCTCCCTGAATGATGGATTGGAACCACCCACAAGATGTCCTCCAAGCCTCAGAGGAGAAGGACCCTTCTCGGTAAGTACCAATGGCCGTTCCTCAGACACTCAAAAGTTTAACTCTGGTTGGTCTCTAAGGTGCTACTGGACTCAAATCTGTTTTACTGCAAACCAACATGGCTACCCTCTGAAACTCATCTTCATAATTGAAAGTTCCTGTAACTGGCTAACTGCCTCCCATAGCACTGTGCTAGTGAAAGCAAAGTTTACAATCCAGGCCTTTGCATCTTTACCTCTGCATCGTCTTCCCATGTGGAGACCTCCCATTTCCATAGGAACTAGGAATTAGCCCTAAAGGCTTTCCATCTGCAGTGCTTTCCTTGCTTTCTAGGCATGTGATCCTAAATACCTAAATTCGTCAACCTGTTGTAATTCATATGCACCGATCTTCCATCTTTTATTTAATAATTTTGTTGGCTTTGTAAACACTATGATCTTAGATTTACCTTCGTCTGTTTCCAAAAGTTCGCTATTGCAATAGGCAATGAATGCTTTTATAACACATTTTAAACTGATATGGAGAGCAAGACAAGCTCATCAGGCGGGTAGAAAGGCGGGTACTGGGTGATTTCCCAGACACGTGTGGGTGGAGATGCCTTGCATTCAACTATAGGTGGAATACATGGCGTGCAAGGACACAGCCCGTGGACACCTCTTTGGATGTGATGAGGGGCCTGTGGAATAAGCAGGGAATATAATAAAGTCCATGGAATGACCAGTTTGTAACTATGTTGTAAATACTGCATATGCTTCAACTGATCATCACTTCTTCAAGGGCTCATCGTAATTTTCAACAGGATATTTGCGCTCCTTTGTAGAAATGGACGAAGAAAGATACTTGCTCAGGTTTTTTTTCTTAGAGAGAAGTGTAATACATTTGTTTTAAAATGTTTTAAATCTCTTCATATACAGAGTGATGTACAATTCACAGACTGTATCTGAAATTCTCAATCATAAACTAGGATGCAGAGCTTTTGGAAGTGATTCTCATTCTTATTGATAGTTGCTCACAAATTTGCATATATTATTGTTTGGCAGACAGAATTATTGAAGTACACTAAAGTACATTAAAATACAGTACATACATTTAAATTAGCAAAGGGAGGATTTTATAGAGGAACATGGGAACTATGCTTCTGTGGTAGCAGAATGTGGATGCTTTGGGTTGGAATCAGCCATACTAATCATGCCTTCCTCTCCTCTTGCTGTGCCTGGAATGTCACAAAGTCCTTTTGTCTGCTTACGTGGACAAGTTGGGCAATACTCAGTCATATTGTGGAGTAAATCAGCCTCTTTCTTCCTGGAAATTATTGCCCATTCCATGCAAACAACTGCTGGTAGTGACTGACAGTGACTTGGTCCCAGTTACCTGGAGTTCGATCCAGCCATCTGTCAGCAGAAGATGCTGATGGCTGCAGATCTTTCCTGCTGAAAGAGTGATCTCATCCCCTTCTCCCTCTGCTGCAGCCCACTGACCCAGGTCTCTATTACTCCATGCAGGTTCTGCAAATACTGGGGAGGTACTATTAAGTGGAGGGTGAAGCAGAGACAATTCATGATCCTTGTGTGAGCAGATTACCTATTTCAGCTCCTTATTTCCTTATGCTGCACATTGTGTGTGTGTGTGTTATATGCCCAGGCTGTCATGATGTTATTTATATTTATTTACTTATTTCATCTATATCCTGCTTTTCTCCCCAATGGGAACCCAAAGTGGCTTACATTGTCCTCCTTTCCTCCATTTTATCTTCACAACAGTCCCATGAGGTAAGAACATAAGAAGAGCCATGCTGGATCAGACCAAAGGTCCATCTAGTCCAGCATTCAGTTCATACAGTGGCAAACCAGCTCCCTGTAGGAAGCCCACAAACAGGAAGACCATAACAGCATTATCCTGTCTATGCTCCCCAGCAATGAGTTCCACAAATAACTATACACTGTGTAAAGAAATACTTCCATTTGTCTGTCCTGAGTTTCCCACCCTTCAGCTTCAGTGGATGATAATGGGTTCTAGTAGGCAGGTTAGGTTGAGTGTGTGCGACTGACCCAAGGTCATCCACCGAGCTTCCATAACTGAGTGGAGATTCTAACCTGGATTTCCCAGATCCCAGTCCAACACTGGCTACTACAACTGCCACAAACAATAAAGGAGGTGAAGGAGATTTTAGGAACCTGGTGCTTTTTGTAGAGTGTAGAGGCTGTGTCATACTTCTGCCTATAGTGAGTAGAGGAAAGGTCTCCTGCTTCAGATGCTCGTTTACCTCTGTCACAATAAGGGGGGAAGACGCTGGTTCTTCTTGTGCTCAGTTACTTTAACACAATTATGTTATTGTTCCAATACAGCCCGAAGGCTAATAGTGGCATGTTACTATGGAAGGACAACACAATCATCCACATCATCTAGGGGACCAGAATAATCCACTGTGCAAAGTGGCGAGTCAAGAATACCAGCATGATACTCAGGTAAGCAGACCCCCCCCCCGAATATTAGGAAATTGAGCCACATTTATTTTTACATTTATTTAAATCAGATTTCCCCAACTCTTTTGAGCCTGTGGACACCTTTGGAATTCTGACACAGGGTGGTGGGCACAACAACATAATGGCTGCCAGAGGAGGCGAAGACAAACAGAAAACAGCTGCCACAGAAGGCAGAGTCACACACACAGAGGAAGCCTAAGTATAGGGAAGAAGAGGAGTAGTTTAAAAAATACAGTAGGAAAGAGGAGTGAGAGAGAATAAAACCAACACTGTGGTGGTAGCTGCAGCTGAAACAACAGTGTTTTAATCTGCCTAGCAAGTTATATCTCAACTGACCAATCAGACGTTCTTCTGGACAAGCGCCCCACATGGCCTCATCCACTTTCTAAAACACTTGGTGTTCTGAAATCTGATTGAACACTTATGCCTGCTGTTACCATGTTATTTTAGATGACCATAATACTTTCAAGAGAGATCAGAGGAAATATTTACATATTAACAAACATACCCTGTGGGCCTAGAGTTTGTTATTAAAATATAAATATAGAAGGGGGATATTTTAATAACTGATCTGTTCAAAAGTTTTACTTTTTTAATACATTACAGGATATGATGAGGGGCCTGTGGAATAAGCAGGGAATGTAATAAATTCATTCTGTAAATTGAATGATCTGTTCCACCTGTATGTTCTGTCTCAAGATGGTCTTTGCCCTCATTGCTTTTTCCCTCCATCTCCATGTTCATGTGTCCAATTCCCAAATTTGGTTTCAGTGTGTGGATCAAAACATTTGTAGGGTTGACCCCCCAAAGGCTAGGGGAAACTGTTCTGCAACATATAGGTTTGCCAAAAATGTTTTTAAAAGTTGAGTTAAAAAAACCCAGCAACTGGAACAGTGATGTTGTGCATGTACAGCCATAGCTCGGGAAGTTGTTGCTCTAACAAAAATAATAATTGCCTTGTTGCCACTGAAGGGTTGCGGGGGGAGAAGAAAGGGAATGAAAATGGCAGCCAGTGGGAGTGGGAAGGAAGAAGGACATATTGTTAAAAAAAGGTTCAGACCTACCAGGGTTTAGGTGAAGAGAGGGAACAGGGGAGGGGGGGGGGGACAGAGTGTGTAGGGCCAGTGGAGCATCGCAGAAGGATGGGAATTTCATCCTTGTGGCTTCTGTGTAGTTCCACACTGGACTGTGAAGGCTAGCTGTGAAAAATGACATTTCTGGAAGATTCAGAGCTCTAGGAGTGCTCCCCCTCTCCTCCATCTTGCACCAGAGCTTTCCTGCCCAAATGGGCATGTGACAGGCAGGGAGAGCACTCCTCCCTCGGTTCTCTCATCACCACCATGGAGAGAGATGCATTCTGATGCTTTTCTTGCCTCAGGATGATTTGTCTTTGACCTACCTGAAGGTGAAGCCTGAAATATGTCTCTCTTAAAAAAAAAAAAAAAAGTCCCAAATGACGAGCATGACATGTGTCTACTGTATCTGGGGGAAGGACCCAACACTATGGTGTGTGACTTCTGCAGCTTGTTCACCCCTGACGTCTGGCATGAAAAGGCCCCTAGACTTAAGGCAGTGGTGTGGGAGAAAGCCCTGGGGGCCCCTGACACTTGCCCTGAAAGGCACCAGACTCAACTGGAGAAAAGGGCTTGAACACCCTCAGTCATGTCTGTGCCCTCTGTCCTGACATCAGATCCAGCCTCTTGTCACATGTCTGTTTGGGCGGGGAAACTCCAGTGCAAGGTAGAGGGGAGGGGGAGCATTCCTAGAACTTTAAATCTTCCAGAAAGCTTTAGAATTTTATTCTTCATGGCTGGCCTACACAGTCCCATGTGTGCCTGCATGGAAAGTCCACTCAATGAAAAACAGTTATAAGTAAGTGCAACCCTGTTTTCCCTCCCTGTGAATCCTCATGTGTTCCCGACTTGTGTTGATATAAATAGGATACAGACAACTATATGTGCATGCACAAATATATTAGTGACATTACTTGTTTTTAGGACATGCTTGTGGCTTGTTCATTACTGGAGCCCTTGTCACTCGAGGAAAACCTTGTTTTTAGAACAGTACCTGTTAACTGAAAGGTTTCAATCAACTGTTCCTTTGTAAGCATTTCCCCTAGCCTGTTGCTCCAGATTTCCTCTTTTCCACAGCTGGTTATACACAATTGTTGTGCATAATGAGAAAATTGTTAATGTATGCTGAAATACCCTAATCAAAAGAAAAATACGTAAAAATCAAGTGGGCCAAATTTATAAGGTATGGTTGTACCTGATAACGTTTTGGTCTCCTGAAACCAGTGATGTTCAGCCTGAGAACAGAGGCATTATTTCCTGAACTAATTCATTAAAAAAGCAGAAGCGAAGCACAGCTATGAGGTTTATAAAAACAATGAGTTCCTGTGAACACATGGTGCACAGCGATGCTTTGAAATACCCTGTGTGGAAGGCAGACCTCCCTCCCCTAATGCAGCAATTTGTCATATTAAGTCGTTTAATAATAATTGATCTCCTTGAATTAGCCAAGTTACATTTTGAGCAATTAGGGTTAATTACAGTCTCATTTGGCAGGATAGAGCCCATGTAATTATTCCATGAACAAGATTAGGAAGTATTCTTATGCAGCAGATACATTCATAGCATCTTTAAAGTACATGTTGGAGTTTGAAACGGCATGGTTAACTTTAATTAGTAGATAATAACTCTTGGTGGCCTGACATTAGGATTGTTTGTTGTCATGTGTGACTATTTTTGAGCGTTCTTTTTTCACTCTCCCCCATTCTCTCTGTTTATATGTTGTGGCTGTCTCTGCACTCTTCCACTTGAGGCAAAAATGAGGCTGGGATTATTCAGAAAAGAATAGTTAAGATCCTTAAGAGTTTGTACAGCCTGTTCTCCAGAGAGGCTTAACAAATTTGGAACTATTCCTCTCAGAGAAAAGATTGAAAAGGGAAGATAAGTAGCAGTTCTTGAATATCTTGAAGGCTCTCATTGTGAAAGAGGAGGAGGAGACAGAGGAAGTATTGAAAGAGCTCCCCAGGGAGGGACAATAAGTGATGTGTTCAAAATGTAATGGTGTGGATTTAGAGTGGAAATCAAGAGACTGTTTCTGGCTGTACCAAGAATTGAGCAATGGAGCAAGTTATATCTAGAATGTGGACAGTCTTCTGGATTTTTGAGAGCCCTAGTCTTGGGGTCCCCCCCGGGACTTGTTTGGTTCTCAACAATTTTTGTTTGTTTTAAAATATTTTTGATCTTGTTATGTTGGATTTATGAGCTTCTTGTTTCTGACTGTGATTCAATAGATTTTTTTGTAAATGGTTTCATTAAATTTTTGTGTGTGTAGTTTTGAGTTTGTTTAGAGAAAGTTGGGCTAAAATGGTTAAATACTATTTTATATTGGTAAAATTGTGATTATATTAATAACAGTATTGTTAAATGATCCTGTTATAGGAATGAAGTTAAGATAGAAAGATTATTTTGAAGAGGTTGGTTTTAAAAAATTGAATCAATTTCATTAATACTTTGTAGTAGAATTTATCATAATTAGCTTCAACAGATATTAAGACAAGACAGTAATCAAGTTCTGTTCTAACACCCCCCTGAAACAAAAGATATTCATGTTGCTAAAGTTGCTCAAGATGTATTGAAAAACATTACTTATAGCATAGTAGCTACCATAGTAGGGGTCTCAAGAAATGCAAAATGTGAATGTCTTAGCACAAATGAAAAGGCTTGAATGCATGTTGATCACAAAATAAAATTAAGTGACTTAAAAGGTCAGAAGTTCAGTTATCCAGTTTGTAGAAGAACTGAAAAAGAAACAAATATTACAAGTATTCTTAAACAAATATTATAAATATTCTTACATTAAGGTATTATAGAAAATAATTAGAAGGCAGGTCTTGTAAGAAAAATCTTAATCTGTGTGAAATAATAAGAGTCAGGCCAGTTACTAAACTTTCAGAAAATCTAGAATATTTTTGCTAGAATAAGGTTGAAGCTGAGTTTCATATTATTGATCAAGTGTATGAGATCCTTGGTTATACAATGTGACAGTGAGATAGTGGTTTGTGCGAAATGGTTAACAGAAAGTTCATTTAGATTTTTGATTACTGTAACAACAATGTAAAATACATTTTCAGTAGTAGAGGATTATTGAAGAAGGTTAGTATTCTGCAGAAATTGTGAACAATGTTCAGATTAAGGCAGTATGCAGTATCTGTGGTAATTTGGTTCTGTTAGGGATTTATGCTAGAAACTGGTAAAACTGTGTGACTTGAAATCATTTGGTGCCATTTTTGTTTTGAATTAGTAGTTGGGTAGGATGTTGTTTGCTGGTTTTTTCAGGGGAGAATGGAAATTTAGGGTTTGGGATTGGGGGAAAATATAATATTACTACTTTAGCAGCATAAAATGCATATTGTATAACTTAGAATATAAAATAGTACCATTTTAAGTAATTGAGACATATTTGTTTTCTATAAGCAAGCTTGTGAACATACCCAATTTTTGAGGAAAGACCTGCAAAGTGTTGCATTTTGCTGCCTTAGTACATGCATTTTAATGTTTGTGGTGTTAGAAGTAGGCAAAAATCCAAAGCTGTTTGACACGTATAATAGGAACATGAAACGTGAGAAGTATGAATAAACGTAAATTCGAAATTTTAAAACAAGAAATGGAGCATTTAAAAATTGCAATTTTGGGAGTGAGTGAACGAAAGTGGACTGGATTAGGATGTTTTCAGTCAGAAGATTACAAAGCATTTTACTTGGGGAATGACAAACACAGGAAACTGAGTTGCTCTAATAGTGAGGTGAGATGTAGCACAAGCAATTAGGGGCTATAATGGAATGTCTGACTGAATAATATCAGTCAGACTTCATGGAAAGCCTATCAGCATAACCATCATTCAGGCTTACGCCTCAGCTACGGGTGCTGAAGAGGAAGACGTTGAAAGTTTTTATGAAGGATCCAGAAGAAATT